GGGATTACATGTGCATGTCATGTTCCAGATCTTTCCTATGAGATCCCACTAAAATTAGCCTGTTATCTCCTAGGCAATATGTGCTTAGCTTTTTACCCTTTACCCAATCTTCCTTCTCTCATTCTACACCCATATTGCTTGAGAGCATTTCCTAAATCCTTCTAACAAAAATTCCTAGGTTAAATATCTTCTTTCCTTCCTTTCTCACTCCTTCCCTCCCTCCCTCCCTCCCTTCCTCACCCTCTCTCTCTTTGTTTGTTTCTTTCTTTCTTTCTTGAAACCTGACCTAAGCAGTTGGAATCATTAGCAGGCTCCCAGGGTAAGATTCTAGAATTGAATATGTCACTGGTTGGATGACAGTAGAAATTATTATTACTAGTAGTAGGGCAAGTAGGAAGTTCTTGAAACTGCTCCCCATATCCAGTAATACAGAAAATAAAAAAGCTCACTATATTCCAGGAGGAAGAGCAAAAATTTATGTCAATCTTAAAGACCAAAGGAGGTAAGAGTGGTGGTTCCCATCAAATATTCATTTATTATACTTGTCCGACTCCTTTGAACTCCAAGAATCATCTAGAAAGAGAATAGCGGACTACCCCAAACTCAGTCTGGTAGTAAATTTATTTGCACTGCTTGCTAGATGTAGTATTTTTGTTAGAGCAGATTCATGCCGCATCTGTCATGTTATGTGACCAGTGATGAAAACAATACAATATTTCTATTACCATCAGAATAAAGGACCAAAAGCATTTTGTACTCCTGAGGCAGAACATAACATATTTATGATCTTGTTCCAGGCTTTTCCCCCAAACTTTACCAAAATATAATTTGGAGGTATCTGGACTCTCCGAGCATTCTACTAGAATGTATATTGATCTGCTTTATTTTTGACATTATGTTTGTAAGGCCAAATGAACAAGACACATGTACTTCAGGAAGGGAAAGATAAAACCTACTGACTACTGACTACTTTAAACAAAAATGGATGACCAATATGCTTGAAAATGCTAAGTACTAGCTTGAAGATGACTGCAGGCAAAGGTGAGGCACTATGATTGAGTATTCACTATATACTTTAAACCAATGACCTTTACATAGTAGAATGTATGGGTCTGGAGAACAACAGCTGGAAGTTTGATACTCCATAATCCAATAATTTTCAGTAATCCATTAAGGGATTTGTGCTTGTCATCTTTAGAAACACTGGGCTCCTGATGTCCTGTTTCCCAGAAGAGGACTTCTTGCCACTAAGTATTTAGAGTCTCATGGAGCAGAAAGCTATGGTTGTCACTTAATCACTATGGGTTCCTTGTACCAACAGACCAGCAGGCACAGAGAGAAGTTATCATAATGGTAAAGGTTACTAACCCTGATTTTCATGAGGGTAGGGGAGAATATATTTAACACACAGGAGATCTTTGGGTGTATCTCTTATTACTTCTATAGCCATTTTAAACTGTAAATAAACAAGTGGAATCCAAACAGACTAATAAATATATTTGACAGAACTTCAGACCCCTATGAAACAATCTAGGTTACCTTTTTAGACAAATTAATCAGCAAAATTGCCAGTTGAAGGAAAGGAGAATTTAAAATTGTTGTGAAGGATAGAGATTATGGATATCACTCACAACCTCAGGATTAACTGCAGCATGTAAGCTAAACTGTCCCCAAATCCTTCCGTTAACAAGTATTCCAAGGAATCTCAATCTTATTCTAAAAAGAGTATGGGGAATATGTCTGATATTATATATATCTAGAGTTACAACAATATGTGTTTTTGTCAAAGCATTGCAAGCTAAACATAATGAATTCTCTTTCTCTCTTGTATGAACTTCGATCCAAACTCTGATTATGTGGTAGCTGGAAAAATATTTCCCAAACTTGGTCCATGTAGTTCATGAAAAATATTACTAAGAGCACTCATCTACTGTGCTAATAGATTATTTTTATAAAACAAATACACATAAGCATACAAATAAAAAATTTTAATCACCGAAATAAAAGGCAAAAAAGAATAACATTTTTGTTGACTAGCTACACTGAATACCAGCCCCCTCTTATCCTCTCTTCCTGCCTTATTTAGAAAATGATCTTGATTAGAAAGAATAAAGATCAATACAGTGGCTAGAGCTTGTGTAAGTCTTTTGAGGGAAAGTGCCCAATTTGTTCTCCACTGAAAGACAATGAATAATGACATTTTGTGGGTAATCATTGATCCCCGAAAACTAACAATTTATTTAGAATCTTCATGCACATTAAATATTCTGGGATGTAATGTCCATGCAACTTAATTTGGAAAAAGTTAACACTTATGATTACAAAAACACTTCTGAAATGTATTCATAAAAGTGAAATACACAGCTATGATAAAGCTACAAACTGCAATAATTACATAGATTTTAGTTATAGTGGTGAGGGAAAGAAATGAAGCACAAAATAATAGTGTTTGATGACCTTTATATAAAGTTCAAAAACACACAAAAGTAATACAGTAAGTTTTTATTTAATGTCATCAATCAGTTCTGGGAAACTGTGCCTTTAAGCAAAATGACATATCACAAACCAATTTTTCCTCTGGAGGGTCAGTAAATTACTTAATCGAAATGGGTCCAGGTGCTGGAGTAATTAACCTTATCTTGTCTCTTGCTAAATCACCAAGTTTGTGGAGTTCCTTCTGACCCCCAATAAACTTTTTTGTGGAAGCCTGGGAAGTTTTTTCATACCCACGATAAAACTTATTTAATCCTAAATGGGTCCTATTAAGAATTCCTTGCTCATTTTGCCATGCTTTAAGGCCCAGGAAAAGCCCAGTTAAAACCCTTGGTGAGCTTTGGTTATACTCCAGCCTTTGTATAAAGTCACTGGCTTTTAATATTTAACTTAATCATTCAGTCAGTACAGAAACAGTTGTTAGGGAGGTCTGCGTTAGTAAGACCTAGCCTGCCACAATACTACATCATTTCTTGTCATGCATTTTTATGATGATCATATATTTTATGAATTCTTATTTTACAATAATTTGTATTCACTCATTCATTCCTTTTCCAACCCCCTTAGCTTAATTTAGGGTCCCAGGTGGTAGAAGCCTGTTCCTGTAGCTCATGCATAAGGCAGAAGCCGGCCCTGGAAAGGGCTCTATCTTGTGGGAGAATACACTCACAAACACCTCCACACACATTCAGACTGCAACCATGCAGACACACCAATTAACATGACATTCACATCTTTGGGATAGTGGAGGAAACCAGAGTACCTAGACAGAAAGTGACTCTTTCTTTTCTCATTGACATTATAACCAAAAATGGTATTTGAGGACCCTCTGTACTGCATACTCTAGACAATTATAAAATTGTCTGTGTATGTAATATTTGTGTATATAATATCTAAACATAGAAAAGGTATGCTAAATACAGTATAAAAGATAAAAACCTGTATAATTTTTATATATAGGGCACTTAACAATGAATGGAGCTTGCAGGTCTGGAAGTTGCTCTGGGTGAGGGAATGAGCGAGCTAGTGAGTAAATGTGAAGGCCAAGGACACTACTGTACAATATTTGGACTTCTTAAACATGATATATAGGCTATGGTATTTACAAATCTGTATCATTTCCTTTATAATAAATTAACTTAAGCCTACTGTGACTTTTTTCTTTTTTTTTTTTGGAATTGGAGTTTCACCCTTGTTTAGGCTGGAGTGCAATGGCGCAATCTTGGCTCACTGCAACCTCGGACTCCTGTGTTCATGCAATTCTCCTATCTCAGCCTTCCAAGTAGTTGGGATTACAGGCGTGTGCCACCATGCCCTGCTAATTTTTTATTTTTAGTAGTGGAGGAAACCAGAGTACCTAGAGTATACTAGGTACTCTGGTTTCCTCATCATATTGGTCAGGCTGGTCTCAAACTCCTGACCTTGTGATCCACTCACCTCAGCCTCTCAGAATGCTGGAATTACAGGCATGAGTCACTGCACCCAGCTGTGACGTTTTTACTCCATACATTTTTTTAACGTTTTAAGCTTTTTGACTCTTCAGTAATAACATGAAGCTTAAAACACATACACATTGTGTGCTGTACAATAAGATTGCTTTTCAATCTTTATAAGCTTTGCATGACTATTTTTTACTTTAAATTTTCTTGTGTTAAAAACTAAGATGCAAATACACACATTAGCCTAGGTCTACAAAGTGTCAAGGTCGTCACAATCATTGCCTTTTACCTTTACATACTGTCCCACTGTAAGTTCTTCAGGGGCAATAACATGTATGTCTCCTATGATAAGGATGCCTTCTTCTGGAACACCCCTTAAGAACCTGCCTGAGGCTGTTTCACAGTTAACTTTTATTTTTTAATAAGGAGAAAGCGTACACTCTAAAATGATAAAATGTATAGGATAGTAAATACATAAATCAATGTCATTTATTACTCTTATCAGTTATTATGTACCATATGAAACTGTACATGGTAGACTTTTTGATGACTGGTGGCACATTAAGTCTATTTATACCAGTACTACAACAGACAAATAAGCTGTTGAGCTGCAACTTTTTTTTTTTTGAGAAGAAGTTTCGCTCTTGTTACCCAGGCTGGAGTGCAATGGTGCGATCTCTGCTCAAAGCAACCTCTGCCTGCCGGGTTCACGTGATTCTCCTGCCTCAGCCTCCGAATAGCTGGGATTACAGGCGCATGCCACCACACCCAACTAATTTTGTATTTTTAGTAGAGATGAACTTTCTCCATGTTGGTCAGGCTGGTCTTCAAGTCCCGACCTCAGGTGCTCCCCGCCCCCAGCCTCCCAAAGTGCCAGGATTACAAGTGTGAGCCACTGTGCCTGACCAACTTTTACCACAGCTAGGACATCACTAGGAGATAGGAGTAATTTTTCAGCTGTATTATTGGACCTCTATCATATATGCAATCCATTATTAACCAAAACGTTGGTTGGTTCTTGGAACCCGCGTCTGTAATTAGAACGACATGTAAGGAAATCAATTTTACCTCAGGCTAATTGTTATACGCAAGAGTCACACTCCTGTTGAGACAGCCAGGTGAGAGAGGTTCCCTGGACAAACTCCAAGCCGTGTGCACACTGAAGCGAAGTCTCCGGAAGTTGTTTGCAGTGGGGAGGAGCCTGGCCCTTCCTCTTCCTGTGTGGACCCTGGGTTTAAGCCGCAGCTAGAACGAGAACTATGGTCTGGCGAGAGTTCCAGTTTCTCCCTTTTCTTCCTTTTCACCCCACAAAACCCTGTCTTACCATTCAAATTGTCTGCGAGCCTGAACTTTTGTGACCATGGGACAAAGAACCCTGTCTTTAGCTGAATTAAAAAAAAAGTCCTGCAAAATTTTTGGTGCACAACGTGGGGGCTCAAAAAGCGGTGAGTGAAATGGGGACTCAAAACTTCTCATTGGGCCCGGCGCGGTGGCTCAAGCCTGTAATCCCAGCACTTTGGGAGGCCGAGGCGGGTGGATCACGAGGTCAAGAGATCGAGACCATCCTGGTCAACATAGTGAAACCCCGTCCCTACTAAAAATACAAAAAATTAGCTGGGCATAGTGGCGCGTGTCTGTAATCCCAGCTACTCAGGAGACTGAGGCAGGAGAATTGCCTGAACCCAGGAGGCAGAGGTTGCGGTGAGCCGAGATCGCGCCATTGCACTCCAGCCTGGGTAACAAGAGGGAAACTCCGTCTCAAAAACAAAAAACAAAAAAAACTTCTCACTGTGGTTTCTAAGCCTTTTCATCCTCCGACTCCTGTGATTAGGGGAAACATGCCCCCAATCCCTGTCACTCCCCGGGGTCAGGAAAGACTGGCAAGTAGTGCTCCTTGCTCCCCCACCCTCTGTGCCTGCCTAGGAGGCAGAACCAAAGGGCCACGCACAGTGGAGATCTGGTTCCCAGCCATAGTGGAGCCTTCCCCTTCCCCAGCCAAGGTTTTTTTTTGGGGGGGGGGGCGGTGCGGGGATGGAGTCGCGCTCAGTCACCCAGGAGTCAGTGGCCCCATCTTGGCTCACTGCGACCTCCGCATCCAGGGTTCAAGTGATTCTCCTGCCTCAGCCTCCCGAGTAACTGGGACTACAGATGCGGGCTACCACGCCTGGCTAATTTTTGTATTTTTCGTATAAGACGGGGTTTCAACATATTGGCCAGACTGGTCTCCTTTTCCTGACTTTGTTATCTGCCCTTCAGCCTCCTAAAGTTCTGGGATTACAGGCTTGAGGCACCTCGACCCGTCCAGCCAAGGAGTTTTACTCCCTTGGACAGTAATTAAACTTTTCACCCTGGTGGAGGAACCAGTTGCGTAAGAATAAGAGGTTCTTCCCCAGGAATTTTTAGACGGTTTCTTTTCTTCCTCTTCTCTACCTCATTAGCAAGTTAACTTTTAAGATTTTCTTTCCCCCTTCTACAAGACGTTTTACTAGGCTAGATACCCCAACTATCACCATTCATATTATCTGTAAAGTTTTGGTTGTAAAAAATGATCTTGAGGGAACTGGGTTTTTCTCTGCCTGTCTGTGTGATGTCTGTGGATAAAACTCGGATTAATTTAGCCAAAAAAAAGAGAAAAGATCTAATAGTTTTTAAAAAGAAGATAAAAGCTGTGGTACTTTTCAGTTCATGTGACTTTAATCTTTGATGAATAGGAACACCCTTCAAGATTATTGGTAAAAAGTAGATGTCATCAAAATGTAAATGGGGGGCTAAATTATGAAGGTCAGATGCAAGGATTGCTAAGTGTTTTGAGATTACAAACTGTTTTTTAGGTTTTGAGAACTATTTAATTTGCTGGCTTTTACAATTGGTAAGGCCTGGGGGCTAATGGAACTAACCACACCCTTAATTAAGCTGGAGTCAAACTTGGCTGCACTTAACACACAATTAAAGCAATTTAGCAGGTTTTGCCTAAAAGTTAAAAGTTGCTAGGCATTATTACAACATGTAATTGAAACTACTGAAAACAGATTTACATGCAAGGGGTGTAAGAAGAGTAAAATGTGTTTTTCAGTAAAAGGTTATAAGAAGGCATGGAAATGTATATTTTTTCCTAAGGTTAAAGGATTGTTTTGAGTTAGGAGTAGCTGAAGTTTCGAACAAGTGCAAACATTGTGGAAATTAATTCTGCAGAACAGGTTCTCTGTGTGAACATATTGACTAAATTGCAAAAGGGTGTTTTATGATTTTTCTGTAAATTGAGCATTGAAATAAAAGCCTAACAAGATTTTATTAAGGGGCTAATCTGCTCTTTGACAAAATTTGTAAAGGTTTATAAAAGGTTGTGCTTTTTTAAACTTTCTGAGTCATTTTGGCAATTTAAATAACTTAGGGTAATGTGGACTTCTATTTCATAATATCCAGTGCCTTGAAACTCGAACACATTTAACAGGCTACCCAAAATTAAACAAGTTTCAAAATTGTCTCTCCTGACACTTGGCTTTTTGGATTGTCCACGGCCCCTGGGATGTCCATAAAAGAGAGGTAAACAAGATTACTTGACACGTTAGGTAGTTGGGATTGCCAAAGTAATGGTCAATCTTCTTTAGGTTATATGTTGGTAAATAATGCTAATACGTGTTCCAAAATTGCATGAGATTTCTGAAATTCTAGTGTCTAAGTGTATGCTATCAATTATAATGTTGTTAAGTTTGTTAACTTCTCTGTAGAGAGTGAGAAGTCCTTTGTGGATGCCGCTTAAATGTTAAATTCCTATTATCTTCAAGGTAATGTATGTACTTTATATTCTTAAAGAGTGGCTTAGTTTGGCTAACCCTAACTAAATCTCATGTTGAATTGTAAATTTCCAGTGTCGGAGGTGGGGCCTGATGAGAGGCGATTGGACCATGGAGGTGGATTTCTCATGAATGGTTTAACACCATCCCCTTTATGCTGTTCTTGTTACAGTTTTTCTCTTTCTCTTTCTGGCTCTCTCTTTCTCTCATGTTTGTGTTTCATGTTTGTATTTGTGTGTTGTTGGAGATTTGGTTGCTTAAAAGTGTGTTGCACTTCCTTCCCTCCACTCCCTCTCTCCTGGTTTTGCCATGTGATACGTGTGCTCCTGCTTTCGCTTCTGCCTTGATTGTAAACTTCCCGAGGCTTCCTCAGAAGCAGATGCCACTGTTTCCTGTATAGCCTACAGGACCCTAAGCCAATTAACCTCTTTTTTTATTGTTAAATATAAATTACCCAGTCTCGGGCATTTCTTTATAGCAATATGAGAACGAGTACTTTTTTTTGGTTAAAGTTGATCATAGAAGCTGCCTTGGTAGTTCACCTAAAACTAATAGTAGTCACAAATGTACTACTATAAATAAATGATTACTAAAATGAGTATTCAGTGTTTATTATATGTCATGCATGTTAAAAATACTGTTACCTCTTAAAATACTTAGAAATCCTACAAATTAAGTAATAATGAAATTAAATATATGTGTATATATCTGTACACTGTCATGTATTTTAAATTGTAGGCAGTTTTTCTAGGTTTAGATGAATAGTAATCTATGAAATTAAAAGAAAAGAAGAAATGATACCCCATAGGAAATAAAAATGCATGCACATTGAGCTAAAAGAGGTGATTATTTTATTTAAACATAGAGGTAATTTCATCCCCTTAACTCCCCTCTCCTTCCTTTCTCATCCCTTTACATCTCCTCTCTCCTCCTCTCCATCTGTCTTCCTGGCTTTTTCTTTCTCTCGTTTGGGTCTCATGTTTGTGTGTATGTGCGTCTCCATGCATAGCAACAGGAAACTGTATATATGTAAACACAATCTTTTTAGAAAGGGCTGAGAATACTTTTTATTCCAGCACAAATATTCTGATTAATAAATGATAATATGAGACTTTAACCCATGTTGTCTGATTTTAAGCAAAGTTTGGTAAATTAAATTAGATGGTCTGTCTACAAAGCACAGCCATGAAACAACTGGGGCTAATGAAGCTCTTTTCATACCTCTGTCTTTTACAGATTTTCTGGTCAGATTAAGCCAAGTAAAATGAATTTAACGCAAAGCCCTGAAAGCAGAAAAACTTATAAAAGTACATGCTGCAGTATTCTCATTAGAAAGAACGACAGACCCAGGCGCGGTGGCTCATGCCTGTAATTCAAGCACTTTGGGAGGCCGAGGCAGGTGGATCACGAGGTCAGGAGATCGAGACGATCCTGGGCAACATGGTAAAACCCCGTCTCTACTAAAAATACAAAAAATTAGCCGGGCATAGTGGCGCGTGCCTGTAATCCCAGCTACTCAGGAGGCTGAGGCAGGAGAATTGCCTGAACCCAGGAGGCGGAGGTTGCGGTGAGCCGAGATCGCGCCATTGCACTCCAGCCTGGGTAACAAGAGCGAAACTCCATCTCAAAAAAAAAGAAAGAAAGAACGACAGAAAAGGCCTGAAGGAGGAAAGAGGTATGATGTGAGGCTGAGAGATAGCCAAAGCCCCTACGGCAGAGTCCTGTATACCATGGTAAGTTAGAGTCCCTCTAAATGTGACAGGAAGCCATAGGAATGGTCTATGCAAGAAGAGAGTGACAGGTCTTGATTTATATTTTAAAATGATAAACTACCATGTTAAATGCTGCTGATTACTTGAGTAAGATGTTTACAAAGAAATCCAATTGGCAAAAGAGGTCATTGCTGACCTAGATAAGAGGAGTTTGTAGCTAGAGGACGGTGTGGTAATCAAGAGAGGGCATTGTTTTCTTTATTTGTTTAAAGATGGGAGGTTTTACAATTTTTTTTTTTCCTGCTTAAGAAGAAAAACACAATAGTGTAGTGTTTAATATCATAGAATCTGGAGCCACATTTCCTGAATTCAAATTCTGGCTTAATTCCTTTACCTGTAAAATGGTTTCGATAATCGTAAACCATAGGATTAAATAAGGATTATGAAATCAAGATGTGTAAAGCACTTAAAAGTTTGCTTGGCATATTGTAAGCATTATATATTATTAACTATAAAAGAAGAAGATTTTAATGTAGCAGATATAGAAAAACATGGCAGAGAAAAATCAGCTGAATGGGAGAGATGGAATAGGAACTGATGCACCATTAAGGATTTGACATTAGGTTGGAACAGGCATGGCTCATCCATTGGACAGGAGAGAAGT